GGCAGGGCCGCGCTCTGGCACGCTGGAAGTCCCGCAGCGCTCGGCGGGTGGCCCAGGTAGTTCAGGGTCTTCTCGCCAGCAGCTGTTAGACCCTGATGCTTCGGAGAAGGCGTGAAGTCCCCTGAAGGGGCAGTTGCGCACCTTCCCGTTCCAGGGAAAAGTTTCTTCCTGAACTGCCGTCGTGTTTTGCTGTTAGCTAGCACATAAACCCCTGTAATCCTATAATTTGAAGGGACGTTTCTCATACACAGATGCTGGTTATTCATAAGTACAGCCTGCTTGTTTTCTGAGTTAAATTACACGGTGGTTACAGCGATTCAGGCTGTCAGCCTGCCAAACCTCGGGAGTACCGGTAACACCTTTTCGTGCTGAAGGCCTGGATCTTATGTGAATGAAACAGCCTCTGAAACACGCGGCAACTGCAGAGGAGAGGAAGGAGTGTTGATGCTTATTTTTCTCTGGAACTGGTTGCGCATTGCAGATACTTGAGGCGTGCAAACAATTCACCTGAATGTCCCTATGCACCCTGCTACTCTGGGGCTACTTGCTGGGCCTCTTTTTGGAGACCAAGTCACAAAGCATTTCAAGGGCAGAAAATCAATTATCTGACATGCTGCTCTACTACCTGAAGCGGCTCCAGAACTCTTAAGTTTTCACGTGCCTATGAGGCATCTCTATGTCTGTAAGTCACATCAGCCAACGGTGCCTCAATTCTGATAACAGAATTCCTCTTTTCGGGACTCATATAGATAACCCCTCCTGAGCAGGCTGCAGCCTCTTCCAGACATCTTCAAACCATTGCATCTTTTCTAGTCTTTGGCCATGGTATAGCAATTTCATGCAATCATTGATGGAAGCCTTATAATTTCAGCAGTGTCTAAATTTGTTCTGTAGCTGCAGAATAAGTAGTTATACTGTTAAATTACAGAAGCCCAGCAAACTGTAGCTAGAAATAATCAGTCAAGAGCTGATTGTTCCCAGTAGCAGTGGCTGTTCCCAGTAGCAGTGGCAAACATTTCTTTGTGAGTGTTTTCCCTGACAGTGGAAGAAGGAAGGTGTCCATTCTGGGCCTTCTTGGAATACTGGATCGAGTAGGTGATAAGAGAGGTGGCAGCGATGTGTCAAAATGTTTTACGAACTACTGGGAGAGATGCAACCAAGACGAGAATTGCATATCCACTACAAGTCTCCTTCACAGTTGTGGAGATCGGTTCCCTCCATCAAGTTTCCCAGTACAGCCACAGAGTGACCTGATGTGGGCTCAAGCACCAAACAGGAGCAACACTGTTCTATACATCTTTTTCTGTGTACCAGCTCATTATTCCCACAATAAAATCATTGTATTAGGATGAGGTCAGCTCTTGGATGAAGAACAGCCTTTTGAAGCTGAATACAAGCACGATAGTGGTTATACTGATTAACAAAGAAAGCATGTTGAGGATTTTAAGCTCAAGCACAATGTTGACAAAGATAAATGATTATAAACTGTTGGAAATAAAAGTAGTCTGGAAATTAAAAGAAAGGAGTGAAACTACATTTAAGGAGGGAAGTTCTGGAATACCTTTTCCATGGGCATAGGGAACATAAACTGGTTTAGACTGGGTCTTGTCGAGTTTATGAACAGGAGAAGATCGTGACAATGGGGGGAACTAATTGTCAGGATTCTTTCCATGATTTTGCATTTGTGGTGCAGTCTGCATGGTACGCAACCACAGCTGGCTAACTCCACCTATAATTTAGGGATGCTCTGCCACACTTTACTGATGCTAGACTGTCACATGCAACAAAACTGTCATTTTCTGCCATCTTCGGTTGACTAGCAGACTGCCCCATGTTAGCGAACACCAACCTAGCTTTATCATATAAGTCATTTTTGCTTTTCTCCTGGACTGCAATGATGTGACACAACTGTACGTGAACGGACCATAGGAAGGTCCATTTACCCATAGTACAGAATGCTGTAACATGTCTTCTTGGTGTGTGAACCTTTGAAACAAGTACATCAGGCAAAAATCCTTCTGGGAACCAATCAGAGACCTTGAAGTTAACTCTCTTCACAGCTGGAGATCATTGCAAATCTCACTAACTTCTTTTTCCCGTGTAAGACATGCTTTGACTTATCTTCTCTATATTGAGCAGCACCTACTTTAAAAAAAAAAAAAAGCATTTTTAAAACCCTCTCATTAACCCTATAGAAAATTAGCCCTTCCATGAAAAATACTAGGCCTTAATATACTTAGGTAATTTAATAATCATTACAATATAAACCTTAGATAGTGCTCCTATGCTACTCTTTCCTACATCAATTTATTTGTTTTTCTCAATATAATTTTCTACCTTTACATGCCATATGTATCTTCTGAGGACTGCATACACACACACATATTGACCACACATGCTCTCTTTCCGCAGACACGAGTTTGAAAAAGGTACCGTTTCTAGGCATGACTGTAACTGATGAATGCAATCAACAAGTCTTCTAACAGTGGGATTTTGTAGGCTGTAGGTGGTGTTCAGTGTTAACAGCTAAGAAACTGATTCATCACCAAGATTGTAAAAAACAGCTAAAGATCCTCATTTGCAGCTTCATGGGTTTTGATACACGTTACACCACATGCCAGTCTCTACTGTTTGTTTCCAATCGTATTTTTGACATGTAGCAAATACTACATGGTCCTCTGGACAGAACATCTAATTCCACACGGGAGGGAAGCCAAAAGGAGGATTATTTCTCTCTCTTACCTAGAGCTATCACATCTGTCGTCCTGTCTTTCACATTACTACAGTGGACTCGCTTACAAGCTTTCTCTTCTGTCTTTCCTATAGACTCAGTCTATATTGGGAATACTTGTCAGCCCTCTGGAGTTCTGATTCACAAATGGCCTTCAGTAGATTTTCAGGTTCCCTGATTTTATATCCTCATTGCCTAATTAGTTTTAAATTAGAGGTAACCGATGGGCTTTGAGTGATCATTTCATCCTGGAAATGTGTCCTTTTAAAAGGTCACTGAGACAGCAAAAGGAAATCTTGTAATCTAAATTGTAGTTCTGAAGGGCTGCAATTGAAGATACTTGCAGGCTGTTGTTGCTGTTGTTTTTTGTTTTAACTAAACCATATTCCCTGATAAGTTTCCAGACTATTTATAGATGATTTCTATAAAAAGATTTTTTAGGAGACAGTATATGAGGTCTATCCTTCCTTGACACACTGTTCTGAGAGTCTATTATTAGAAGCATGTTCTGACAGATTACAGCTTTCTGGTAGGGAGACAGGAATTGCTTAAGGACACTCAGAAGCATGACTACACACTTCTCAAGTATGTCTGGAGATGAGGTTATTAATAACTGCCAGCTGCCTTGCTTGCTTCAGCATATTGTGGACAGCACAGACTGAAGATGCTCACTCTATACTGGCTAAATAGAAAGCAGATTGTTCTGTCCATTAAATATGGGGACTCTGCAAAGGCACTCATGGTAACTGTGTGAGTCCTAGACTGCTGAGACGTCACATCTTTGAAAACCTAGGTTTTATTGCTGGATTTCTCTTTTGCTAAAGGAGAAACATCACCTGTTCTTCTCCAAACACGCAGATATGAACATCTCCAGGAACTACTCTAACTGGTATAACAGTTGATCTAGAGTTAGGCAACAAATACTATGTAGTAATTAGGGCAGGACCATGTTGGATGTCTGTTTTAGAAGAACTAGTTTTTAAATCAGAGCAGGCTTCTGGACTGTAGCAGTTTTTGTTTTAGCAGTGCCCCCTCTTGTGGGAAATAGAAAATCAGGACTTGGCTGTTCTAGCTCTTTTGCTGCAATAGCATGTTTAGGACATTTCCTTGGGAAATTCAGGCTGTTCATTAGCAAAATGAGTATATTAGGTATTTCTTTTTCATAGAACCCAATGTTTCAAAATCATCCATGAGATAAGCATTTGGTTTCCTTGGTTTCTACAAAATCTGGAGTAGAAAAGTTACTATGTAATCATATTTAAAATTCAAACTTTATTTGTGAATGAATGGGTTTGCTTTTGCAAAGATGGTTTCTTAACAGTGGAGATGGACAAGGAGTATCTTTCACTTCTGAAAAAAGATACCTGAATCTCTGCAAAGTTCTTCTGTGAATTTAGACTCCAAATTTCTAATGAGATATTGCAGTTTATTTAGGGCATTAATTCTCAAATCTTCTCAAGTGACACTGTAGCCAGACAGATTTCCATATTTTAAGTCAATATGTAAACACCTGGAATAAAGTCCAGCACTTAGGTCAATAGGTCATCTTTATTCTTTAGTGGATCTCATGCATATTGTAACCTCTTTGGTTACCGTTATTAAGGATTCAAGCTGCAACTGTAAAAACAGATGACAAAAGCAAAATGCCTGTAATGGCCATATGCAGCCTAAAGAGTTTGTTTTCCTGGTGATTACTGTAGTTCAAGTAAGCATTATTGTGCCGGTATTCAAGCAGCCACTTATTGAAAAAGGAAAACACACAAAGCCCAAACATTTTCCAGGTTCCTACAGGTAAGGCTCCTACTCACAGCATCCCATTCTTATGTCCTAAGTAGGTAAAACTTACACAACTGTTTCTCCCTCTGCCCCAGTACGGTCTCAGCCAGAACTGCCAGTTAAGATCACTCAGAAGTTGTTGAGTGACTGCTTTGATTAAAGTGCAGACCACTGCACTTTTACGGTACTTTGATAAAAAATACCAAAATGCTTTTAAGGAAAGTAAAGAATCTAGAGTTTGAAATA